TTTCATTAGTGTATAATCATCATCAATCACCTGAATATAAGAATCATTGTGTTTTTGTTACCTTAGAATGAGCTGTTTTTAATCTACAGATGGAGTAGGTCCTCTTCTACAGAGGCTGCCATGTTTCCACAGTAGCCAGGAATGGACAAACCAAACACTGGCTCTACACAGGGCCTTTTGCATTATCTGCAAGTTTTGGGGCCACCATAGTTTTTTGTATGCTTGGAAGGCTAAGCTGTATTTAAATGGTTGCAATCTGCAACTGAATTCTACACACTGGTCCTTTATTCATGATTGCACATTTAAATCTAATTATTATCATAATGTGGAATAATAAAACCTTAAGTGTTTGTTTTTTAAATTATACCTAATAAACAGTCCATTATTGTGATTCTTTTTGTTTCAGCTGTGGGAGAATGCAGTTAACCTTTGGACTGACCTGCAGCACTACCATGAGCTGTTTTATCAGGATGGACTGGACCCCTACAGAGTACAGAGAGAGGCACAGGTACATAAATACATATATAAATACATACATAAGTTCACAACCAAAGTTGTTCTGCTAGATTTGAGGTTCCTCATTCTACATTCATCTCCCACCGACTTCTAAGAAGCCATTCAGTGCCATCTGGTTTAAACACAGTATGTGCATTCCCCATACTGTATGACATATAAACTAAAACTAATGTCAGCTATTTAACAGTCACTAACCCTGCAATTTGGAAGGATAAGCAAATTAATAATATCAGGAGGAGAAGGAAGCATTTTTTGTATTCAAAGTAATAATCCATAAAGTATTTTCTCTATCTTACATTTGATAACATGTCTGTACTTGGAGTTGAGTCTAGTCTGGCTTAGCAGATTTTTTTGCATTTTTGTCAGAAAACACTCCTTTCAGGATAACTTAATTAGCCTTTTTCCAAATAATAGCAAACATTCTTCCAGATTTAAGGATTTTTTTAGGCTTCTTAATTTAAATTTTGCTTCCAAGGCCAACTGTGCAACATCAAAATAATTTCAAGCAATAAAATAGGTACTTTTGTGTAAGTCATGTTTTCTGTGGAAAAATAGGTTATAGTTAATTTAAAATTTAATTTAAGACGCTTCAGAAGAATGCAATATCCAGAGATAGAGGTCTCCTGTAGAAAAGATGCCAGGAAAAATCATGAATCATCATAAATTAAAGTGCCAGAGAACAAAAAAACAACCAGTAATAAAAGGTCATCAAATGGCAACAGAGATTGAGTATAATTATAGTATATAATTATATCTTTTAATATATATGTATATTTATGTTGCCCTCCCTTTTACACACACACCTGCTCTTGTTTGCGTGCTCCCTTGGCAGGCCACTGCTGTTCTCCTCGCTGCCCTCTTTACCCCTCACTAAGTGGAGAGATTTAAATGCCCATAAAAACAAGTGAGTCAGACCCCCCCCAGCTCTGCGCCAGTCCAGTCACCCAGAACCACCCTGTCTGACTGCAGCTGGACCAGGGAGGAAAGCTGAGCTGGCCGGTCCAGAATACCTCACAGTGAAATCAATTTTCCTTCAGTTAACCTTTAGTTCACCAGAGAAATGACATTTAGATGATCTTTCCATAGTGCCGTGGCCAAGAGGGTTAAATGAGTGACATTTATGTGGTGTGATGGCAGCGGTGATGAGAGATAGTGAATATTGTGTATGAGAGCACTGAACAATGGTGATGATGGAAGTGATGGCGGTTTTGAGGAGAAATGTTTCTGAAGTGATGACATTTTTATGACCTTCTCTTTTCTTCTCAGCTCCTTTACTCCACCTATCTGTTCAGCTCTGCCAGGAGGAGCATTAGTGTTGATGAGGAGATCAGAAGGGAGGTATATGACCGAATGATGCCTGCTTTTGAGGAGCTGTTTGACAAGGTTGAGGAACACACACTAAATATCCTGCTGGAGCCGTGGACACTGCTGGTCAGCAGGGACAAAGAGTCCTTCCAGAAGGTGACCACAGTACATCCACAGTTAAATTTACTTTCACTTTTATCTGGAGGAAATAGATTTCCTTTAAGTCTAAAGGTTAGCGGACACAGGTTAGAGATATTGTCCTTAAAGTGGATCCTCATTTTAATAAGCATTTTCCCTGCTGAAATGGTGCACACAGACTGCTGACCCCATTGAAAAAGTATTTTCCACAAAAATGCATGTATATGTTGGTGCATGTATGAATATTGTAAATATCAAATTGATTGGACTTATTAGTTTGAGGCTTCCTAAGTTATTCTGTGCATGATTGACTATAGGGCTGCAACAGTTTGCGATCAATTGTTTGGTCTATAAAACATGTGAAAAATGCCCACCACAATGTCTTAGAGCACAAGGTGATGTCAATAAATGTCTTGTTTTGACCAACCAACAAGCCAAGACCTGCAAGTATCGAAATGTATGTAATGCAAGACAGCAAAAAGCATCAAATTCTCAGATGTGAGAGCCTGGGACCATCAAATGTCTGTTTAATCTGACTTTAATGATTAATCGATTGCTTCCAAAAATGAAAAAATGGATGCATCAACTAATAGTTGCAGCTCTAATTAGCTTTATGTGTATGTGTGTATGCGTCTAGGTGTGTGTGCAGGAAGAGGTGCGCTGCATTGACAGCCAGGAGTACAGGGAACTCCAGAGTCTGTACGAGGAATCGGAGCGCCGACTGAAACAGGTCAGCCAGCATCCACAAATTCCACTGATTTATAAAATGTCGGTGCTCAGTTAATAGCCAATAAACACACACCTGTGAGCATAATGTAAACATTCATGTGAAAAGGGCCTTTTTCCAGTATTTATGTATTGCTTAATAACAAGATGTTATCTACTGTTCCAAGACTATATTACTTGGCATGTGCGTGCTATTTACAACGGTGTCATACTGCTGTTATATAGAAGAAATGATCCATGTGACTGTGTGCTTTACCGTGACTTTAGTACATCTAAGAGGCAGTATTAGGTATGATGTGATGTGGAAAAGAGTTTTATACCACACTTTATTTTTCTCTTTGCTACTCCATCTCTGTCACTTATTCCCTTATTTCCCTCCTGTTGCTGTATCTCCTCTACAGGTGGAGCAATGTGGGTCCATGCTATTTCCCTCTTCTTTTACACTTACTACTCCCCTCTTAAAGGGCCCCCAGACACCTCACTCTTGGTCCAAAGTGTCTCCAAATTACAGAGGTTACCGTCTGGGTTCCTTACTTCGTCATCGCCATGAGATCGGACACTTTATGTCCTTCCTACAGAATCAGGACGCCAGGTTAGCTGTGTTTACGTTTATGTCCCCAACTTTAAATATGTATATACAATAGATTTACAGCATCACACTGTGGCTGACTTGCACATGCGCAACATATTCAAACTGAAAACTGAAGTGAAGGCCGCATGAAAATATGCAGAAAGTGCATTGTCTGCAGGATGTGTACAATGCACTGAAATGTATGCAGAAATAACATGGTTGTTCTGAACCTGTGTGTTTCTGTTCAGTATCCATCTGATGTGCTGGTTGGATCTGGAGCAGTACAGGAGGACGTCTCAGAAGGACAGAGTTGTCAGACAGGAGAGGTCGTCTCATATTGCAACCAAATACCTCAACAGGAAGTACTTTTTTGGCACTGACAGCCCCGCCACGACAGAACAACAGAATGATGTACGTCACAACACACAGTTTTAAAAAAAAAAACAATATGTTGAGTTTTATTGGCAAATGTACCAATTTTGTTACAGTCACAACTCCACTGAAATTGAATTGTTGTCAACTTCATGGGAATGCATTAGAGAGACAGGGGCAGAAACATGGTGCACATGCCATGACAAACGCAAGACTGGGATGTGATCTCCAGCTGAGGCTCAACATCCAGATCTGACAAAGAGAGGCTGCTGCGGCTCTCACACAATTTCCCATCTCCCTTCTTTGGCATCCTTCAGATTTCATGCTGACAGCTCTGACAGCAGGGTGTCGGTGGGAAACAGGGGATGAGAAGACATGGTTAGAATTAAAGCAAGAAAAAGAGAAGAGAGTGGTTTGAATCTAGAGACAAAGAAGATCAGCTACAGTAACAATGACAGAAGGATGAAATCTCTCCTGACATTTATAGACTGAGATTAGGTTTCTGGATTCTAGGATTACTGCAGGAGGGCACGCTGTGTAGAGTTAGAATGAGTAGATGGGACAATGTGTGGTGAGCCTGATTTTCTCCTTTGGGACACCGGAGATGGTTGCTATGTTGTATTTATTATACTGTCACAGAAAAGAGTATTATTTTATATTTGTTATAGGACGCCGGTTCCCAGCCTGTTTTGTCTAAAGTAGCCCCATAGCTCTGTCAGATAAACTCAAGCAACCCTCATCAACATGACTTCCAAATGTGTTAATTTGAATTGATTTTGCAAATGCCATCAGGAGCACATGGAGGAACCAGATTTGTTCCACAGATTATCTATCTCATGTACTACTGTCAGGATATAGTGAAAGTTTCAGCAAATGACTAAAAGTTATCTCTCTATTATACTTATCTATTAAATGTTACCGACTGCAGCTTTACAGCACACAGGGTTAAGAGAGACATACAGTGTACTTGTTGACATGACTTCAACTCTGGTGCATGACTTTTGTCATTTGTCATCCTCATCTCATAACTACCATCAAAATAATGATCATAACGGCATTTGAATGAGGATGCCAATTCTAGTGCTTCTAACTCTGTAGGATTGGGTCTGGCTGCCGCTCTTGCATCTCAGCGTTGGTTCTTGTCTGCGTGAGCGATGTAGAGAGACTGACAGCTTTACTGCTTTGGCCCTTCGCTCTTTCAATCACTCAGTCATCCAGTCACAGATTGGCCTCCTTTCATCTACTGACTCCCACTCCAATGCCACGACTGGTTCTCATTTCTGAAGCCTGTGTGCGTTCAAAATGAGACGAGAGAAAATATAAAGGGAGATATAAATAGGGAGACATGGCCAGATCGATGTATTAAGACAGAAAGCAGACAGGGGAGATGAAGAGAACAGAGGGATTGTGGGAATGATGACGAGCGCAGCAGGAGTCTTCATTCGGGTTCCCCACTGTGGGCACTTTTCTTCTGAGGTTGTCCACCTCCTCATATGTTCTTCATGTTGTTTTATAGAAATCTACAGAGATGTACACTCAGTCATCTTTAGCATCCATATCAAACACATGAACACACGTGCAACCATCTACTGTTTCTTTGACTGCGTCTTGCTTGCGTCTTTTTCTGTGTGTGTGTAGATATTACGTCTGGCAGGTGGGCTGGAGCGTCTGAAGATAGAATGTCTCTCGAACCCAGTCGTTGTGGAGATCCAGGACGTCGTAAGGAGTCACATTGAGAAAAAATGGTTGCCTCTGTTCCTGTCCACAGCAGAGTTCACAGAGCGACAGAAACACCAACCAAAGGTGAGCATCCTGATTCTTAACACTAGTACAACTAATTGTTTATCTCAGAACAGAAGTGAGTTACAGATAAGAAATTTTGGGAAATAGGCTCATTCTTGAGAGTTAGATGAGGCCATCGATACCACTCTCATGTATCCATTAACATAAATCCACAGCCAGCTTAGCGTAAAGACTGGAAAAGGGTGAATCAGCTTGCCTAACTCTATCCAAAGATTTCAATTCAATTTCAATTCAATTTTCTTTGTATAGTGCCAATTCATAACAGAAGTTATCTCAGGACACTTTTTCAAATAGAGCAGGTCTAGACC